TTGAGAGAAAATCAGAGAATATGTTTATCCAGTTTGGTACAAATGATGTATGAGACATAGTAGATATGTAGAAGGTATTTTGATCAAAGGAGACAGGCAGTTAATATCCAGGACCTACAGGCAAAATGCAAAATATGTAGAAAAAAACTGCAACTGCACCTTATTCCTGTTGTGACGAGCATCCTAAAGAGATAATGTGGGTAAGATTCATGGGCTATCCTGTTATCATGGGCCTGGTCAAAGTCCAGACCAAAATCTAAATGAAAGTATGTGGCAAGACTTAAAAACTCATGTTCTTGGGTGATTCCAGTCCAGTCAAACTTTACACAGAATATACAGAACCTGAATAAACCAGGCCATTTAAAGCCTTTTACACCCAGAATCAGAGAATTGAGTTTCTGGAGCTGGAGACCAACGACCTCCCAGCAGGAGGCTGATGTGTTGCTTCAGGCCGCTTCTTCATCCAGGTCCAGCTCCGTCTTCACCTCCCGCTGTCACATGCAAATGCTGTGCTTGAACTGTGGGGTCAGGGAGGCTGATGGGGTGTTGGTGCCTGCAGTGCAGCGTGTGATGAGGCATGAGGCGGTAAACACACGGCACACTTTGACCCTCCTCCTGCTCCTGGCTCAATAACGCTCTCATGAAAACTATCTGATCCTGATACAACTGATAGCTGCTGTGTGCCTGTGTGTGATGACGTGTTGAGTGTAAACACGTGCCACACTTATGTGATTTTATCTCTCACAGACACTGGTACACCGTTTACAGAGCACAGCTTTATCTAAAATGGACTCTAATCCTGGTTTGGATCAGAAGCTCTCCAGACTTTATTAAGGTCTTTCAGACTTCAGCTGATTTTCGTTCTTACCTTTGATTAAATTCCTTATAGTTTTTCATTTCATTTCAAATACGTCAAAGTTCAGATAGTTTTACTGATGAGGTTCAACAAGCTACACATTTAAGTTTTATTAAAACAAAAGATTTTTTGATCCACAAAGAGATAACAGACTGATGTCCCCGGAATTACATTTGTTGCCAGAAGACTCTTTTTTGGCTCGTGTGGAATCTAATCATTGTGGTTAAAATTTTAAGCCTTAAATAAAATAAACCTCTGATAGTAGACTGAACCTCTGCATTAGCTTCAAGGCTACGTGGGAAGAATGGCTCAGGAGTTGGAGAGAATGTTTGGATCTAAGGCACCGTCCACACGAAGCTGAACCCTGGCCTAAACGCACAATTTTTTCACCAAACCACTCATCCATACGAAGCCGGCGTTTCGGGGGTCTGTAAACAATCTTTTTTTTATTAGGCCTTCAGAGTGGGAAGATTTTGAAACGCCGTTTTCGCGTTTCCATCTTTAAGCTCTAACCGCATTTTTTTTCTTAAACGCTTGCGTCATAGCGTCGCCTCTAAACACGCATGCGCGACACAGTATCACAACAACAATGGCGCCGTACTGTGGTGAATGGTTGCTGCTCATGCTACTCACCCTGCTGTCGGGCTTACAACAGAATCTTCTTCTTCTGGAATATCTCCAGGAAGAACAGAGCAATATCGACAACATAGTTCAGCACCTGAATTTGACTGAACCACGAAAATGGACCCGCAGGGCAACCATGTATAAATATTAGTGCGCATACCCAACATTTCGTCGCCTATTTTTGCTTTGGCACCACAGCGCCACTTACAGGCCTGGCATACATTTTGCAGCGTTTTCATGCATTCGTGTGGACGATCACATTTATTTTACGTGTCCGTCTTTACGACAAACGTTCTGGAAAATATTAGCGTTTCGTGTTCGTTTTGACTTCGTGTGGACGGGGCCTAAGTGTAGATTGTCTGCTTCTCCATAATAAGAGAAGTCAGCAAACGGAAGGCAGCTTCACCCCACATTGAACTATTCAACAATCAAATCTTACATTTTTTTTTTCACCTAACATTTAATTAATATGTGTATTAGTTGATAACTAGAGTTATTAAACATTTTAAATATCACTAAAAATTAAAAGATGCCTTTCCTCACCAAAAAGTAGATCATCAGACTAAAGCTGACTGAGGTCAGTTCCTATTAAATAAGTTGCAGTTATAGGCATGCATTTTAACAAACCTACCAGATCAGGAAAACAATGAGGATTTTATAGAACTTTACATCACTTTACATTTGTAATGACTGTGTCACGCTTGATGCACTCCTGTTCTAAATAGTGCATGTGTATTAGAATCATAGGTGAGTCAAAATAGGATACACTATGCTTGCAGGGACATCACTTTCTTATAATTTGTGTTCATTTTATACAAAATATTTTATTAACTGAACAGAATTTTCCAAATGTCAATATTCTATGAGAGCCTGTCAATAACAAGCGATCAGCATACTGAGGCGGGTGAATCCTCATCAGTACCGACAGAACATTGGTAAAGTTTATCTTATGTGAGTGTTAAAACGTTGCTCTGATGTATGAGTCGTAATTCACTCAATAGGCGGGTTTCAGTCACGTGATGATTATGACGCGGCTAGGGGGCGCAATTTCAGAAGGAGGGCAGGAAGTCTATGAAGTTAGCGTAAACATGGAGGACACCGTTACCGAGAGCCCGTATTGTATGGAGTTAGAGCCTGTTTCAAGACGATACAAGGAGTTGATTGACAGTACCCGTACCTCATGAAGATGAGTGAGTTTTCGGTGGACCTTAAAGATTTGGCGACAGTGGAGGCCGTTATTAGACTACCGGTAACTTATTAATCATTACTAAGTAAATGAGCATTTAACGACAACCTTATGCTATATAAACACAACCACAAAAAAAAAGTTAGCTAGCTAACATAACGTTATAGCTTACCTCCGACGAAGCTGTCGCTGCAGACACGGGCATTGGCAGACTCTGCTCCTCCAGACCACAGACCTAGGTTTAAAATCCATTTTTTACGGCGTTGTTCTGTGAGCTTTTTACATTTTTCACCTTTATGAACGACAATCTTTGGTACTCTGTAAAAGCTCTTTTCCTTTTCTCGGTTCGAACGATTGGAGCAGCCGTAAACTACGCAAAACATAGGCATTATTTCAGACGGCAGATCCTCAGCTACTTCACTTCCTGCCCTCCAACTAAGTTTCGCGGCGTCGCGAAGCAGCACTGTGACGTCACGTGAAACCAAGCTATTAGGCATCTGTGGTATCTTGTTGTCTTAGTTAACTTTTTACCAAAACCTAGAAAATCTTTCATTAATAATTTTAACTTTGTTATTTTAGAGGCCTGAAGGCTCTAAAGGTTCAGTCAACTTAGCTGTTCAAACAATAGCAACCTCAGACGAGAACAAACAATAGGTAACATGATAATATCATTGTTTGTTGTTTTTAATACCTGTTAGTAATGGTTGAAATTTTGCTCTACAACTCAAAACAGGTTTAAAGAAAACTAAAAACTACTTACTTTGAGAGAGGCTTATACCGTAAAGATACAGGTTCTAAACGTAATACGTATTAAACTACATCACTGTTTATCTTCATATTCTATAAATATGCTCAATCTGTTCAAAAAAGTTTACAGGCATATGTTGTTTATGTTGTGTTTTTATTGCTTTATGAAAACTATTGAAATAAATGGAGTTTTTAAATAGAAAACTTTCAATTATTAATATTACTACTATTTTTTTATTTCAAAAGTCTGTTTAGCAAGCACAGTATCCATTTTAATATTGTTGTTGAACAGTTTTCCTGTTTTTATTTGGCGTTCAATAACCCAGCAGGTCTTGGTTGATCAGAACTGGTCCCGACCAGTTTGAGTCGGTTTGATCAAGCAGAAGCATTATGCATTTTTTCTGTTCATGGACAGATTTCCCTTCAATTTTTAGGTTGACCAGCCTTTACTTTTATTTAATACAGTCATGTTTATTACATTAGAGTCTGGGTTTTGAAAGGGGTTTAGGTATTTTTTGATAATGAATGATAATTACAACATTTAAGAACAGGCTGTTCTGTAACACATGTTTTATTTACAATCCTAAATGTATTTAGCAGTGAGCTCAAAATCATTAATAATAATACAAGAGGTTTGAACCATCTGTCTTTGTGAAATTAATCTATATTTTGTATTTAATTGTGTGGCAGAGAGTCCGGAGTTAATCAGTAAGTGATATCTTTCAATGGATATGAATGTAGATGCAATAATGTCTGTTTCTGTGGTCCTGAATGTCCAAGTTTAGATTTGACTTTCCAAATTAGGCTAGGACGAGGATATTAACCAGTTAAGCCCATTTGATAATCAAAACCCAACAGTTTTTTACCCAAGTTTAGATGTCAGTGGGTTTCTTCATGTTTTGTATCTCTTCAATAAGCTGTTTTCCAAAGTAAGAGATAATCATGCTCCTCTTTAAAAGTGAACAGTTAGAAAAGTGGTTTCATTTATAGTGAACTCAGAGACGGATGTTATAAAGTAATGAGGTCGAAATTTTTTTTTTTCTTATTCTGAATTAGATTAGCAGATATGCCGAAAATTCAGAAGTTATGCTACTAGATTAAACAAAAATTAAACCATAAAAATTTGATTATGAATCAGGAACATGACAGCAAGCAACAAGAAAAATATTTTGGAAAGTAATGCTTAGTCTTCTTAATTGTATATTAAATAAATTTATAATTAATAAAGTTTAATTATCAAATTATTAAAACAACAGAAAAATATTGCTGTGACTAATTTACAAAAAACACAAAATGATATGGGGCAAACCGGTCATGCAAAAGCAAAAGGTCTAATAAGGAACAGCATTATGAATGGAAAAGATTGTGATTTGTTTATTAGCATTATTGGCATTTTATTGATTTAAATAGGAGTTTCCCGTAGCTCCAAACTGGATATAAGAATCACCAGATGCTTCAACAAAGAAACCAGTTAGAAATGCACAAAACAGAACAAATGCTTGGATGTCAGTCAGGTCACATACTTTTTTAGGGAAACCAGCAGTATACATATATACAGTAACAGGACAGTATGATGAATGTTTAAATTAATTCTAAATGGATAAATATGGGTCAGTCTGTTCAGTCCTTTTCACTGCTGGAGGTGTAAGGTGTCCAGTGCTTCACTGAAGACCCCAGAGAATCCAGGTTCTGGACCTGATGCCGCCTGCAGCTCAATGTAGTCCTGATGGTCGCCCAGGAAGGAAGGAGTCCACTGAGAGGAGGGGAAGAGAGGAGAAGAGTGGCTGCAGGGGTCCCACTGAGGTACCACAGCACTGGGGGAGAAGGAGTAGGGGTACCCCTGGGGAAGAGGAAGAGGAGCAGGAAGAGGAGGGGAGGCTTGTTCAGGAGCCAGCATGTTCACAGAGGAGCAGGAGGAGGAAATAGTCTCATGATGAGGAGGAGGGAGGGAGTCCTGGAAGCTGCTGCAGTGCATGCTGGGACGCTTGGTGCTGGGCTCTGACGGTGATGGGGATGATGATGGTGGTTTGCTGTCACTGGGATCAGACTTCCTCTTCCTCTTTCGGCGGAAGTTTCCATTGTCGAACATCTTCTCACATTTTGGGTCCAGAGTCCAATAGTTTCCTTTACCTACAGGAGGAGAAGGAGAAGAAGGAGGAAAGTTAATGATGTGATGTCATTTAGTTTCAACAACACTAATCTGAGGATGAGGAGTAGCTCTTACCTGGATCGCCGTCATCCCGGGGAACCTTCAGGAAGCAGTCGTTAAGCGACAGGTTGTGCCGGATGGAGTTCTGCCAGCCAGCCTTGTTCCGGCTGTAAAAGGGGAAGTTTTCAGAGACGTACTGGTAAATCTGACTGAGAGTCAGCCTCTGGTTGGGCGAGCTTTGAATCGCCATGGCTATGAGGGCTGAGTAGGAGTAAGGGGGCCGGACCAGACTCATCAGCTCCTCAGAGGACAACCAGGATCCAGGATCCAGGTTCAGGAGATGAGGAAAGAAGTTTTGGATAGCTGGAACAATTCCTGGGGGCCCTTCAGGGACTAGGCCCATGTCCTGTCTGCCGTAGGAGGATAATGGGGTCCTTGGAGAGGGGTCCGCTTCAGGAGGAGGACTATACAGGCTGAAGTCAGACCCATCCAAGTCCAGAGAGGGGAGCTCCTGCTGGGGGCAGCGTTCGGGCAGGAAGGAAGACAGAGCCTGATCCAGAATGAAGGAGGCCATGATGTCTGTACACCTGCTGCTCACCTGAGACTCTTATACCCTGCAGCCCCGCCCACAAGGCGGCTGATTGGCTCCTGGGAGTGAGTGTGCGAGGTGAGGGATGATTTGAATAAGAACAGGTAGAACCCCTGCCCCAGGCTGTTCAGAGCCCCAGGATCTGATGGAGAGGTATGTCAACAGTTTAAGGACTGCAGAGTCACTGATTCAGCCTAAAAGAATAAAGTTAAACCTTCAGCCACAGCTAATCTCTAAGGACATTCATCCTTATAGAGACCCTAAACCACAGAGAACCCCTTCAAGTCCTAATCAGAGAGATGGTACCTCAGGTTCTGGGATTTTTTTTAACCTGCTACTAATACTTTACTTGACAGAAAGTTGACCGGTTATTTTTATGATATTTTTTTAATATGAAGTAAATACAAAATTAACTAATCACTGAAAAGTTTAAGACATATTATGCCTTCTTTGTGTTTTATATTTTGGAGCTTTCCATGAAATTTCAAACATAAATAAAACATACAAATCTTGAGGTAATTTAAACATTAGTATTTCTGCTTTCATGAGGGCAATGCTGCAATTATCTTAATTCCATCATTTTTTTGCATTTCAGCTTGTAGAAAGTTCCAAAATGTTTTTCTGGAAATGTTTTTCCTCCTAAATGATACCATTCCTTCTCCTGACACTTGAAGCTGTTTAAACATAGATGACATGAAGCAATGAAGAGTTGCAGGTGTTATTTTATCTCTCATCTATGGATATCAAACAGAACAGGTACATTCTTTTTAAGGTTTGTAAACACTTTTTTTTATAGTGCAAGCGGGACTGCAGGGATGCATTGGACTCCAGTGCAAACAGGATGCAGGCAGGACAGTGATTAAAGTAACATAAAACTGAAAATAATTGGGATTATAAAACTGTTACAGCAGGGGACCGACAGGGAGCAGCCCAGTGAGACAAGCTGAGAGTAAGAGTTGAATCTGACAGAGAATCAAGTGAGTTTGTAAGTACTTGCAAGATCTGTATGCAAAAAAAGACACTAACTAAAGACTACTACTACTACTTATAAAGCACTTTCAAACACATGATATGCAAAATAGTGCTGCCTGGATCAATTAACATTGAAAACACAAAACAAGAAAAATGATTACTAATTATAATACCGCGTCTGGATAAAGAAAAGACCTCAACTAAACCAAACAGAATGGAATACACTTTGAAAAATGAACAGAACTTAATTTATCAAAATACACAAAAAATTCAAATAAAAAAAATAAAAGAATTTAGAAATGTAAAAATCTAATTACTATATAGACTGACAGCAGCCACTGTTCCAAGTTCAAATCCCAACGGGGAGACCTTTTCCGCATGGCATATCCCCTTCTCTTTCCATCTGTCTTCTGTTTGCAGCTGATTTAAAAAATGGCCACTGTGGCAAAAAAAATGAAAAATACATCAGCATCATGGGAACATATTCAGTTGACCCAAAGAGCAGCAGTGCATAGTAAATGTTGCCTTAGTGGGCTTTAAATAACAAACACACACACAAAAAAAACTACTCCTGTACAGAAATATATCAACAACTTACTGTTGTCATGATGGGTTCACTAAAGGAGACCCAGTTATGCAGAACACCACTGACGGACACAAGGATGAAAAGTTTAACAGTTTATTTAAGCACAACACACAGAATGTACTGATTCTGGTTCGGGCCTGGATTCTGGTTCACCGGAGTCTGCGTGAGAGACAGCACAGTTAGGGACTGCTGACAGGGTTTGATTTCCAAAGGTTCACTGATATAACCTTGAGGGTTCTTGAGGTTTACTTTGGGAGAGTCACTGTTGGTTCTGGAGAAGAGTTTATCAGCAGAGTCCGTTTGCTGCTTCAGCGTCTCATGTCTTAGCTTGAACAGACCTTGGCTTGGATTTCCCAGCTCAAGTCCTGAGCTGCTTGGGGGTTCTCTGTGAATCTTCAGGGTTTGGCTCAGAGGGTCGGCTCGGGAGGTTAGCTCTCCCAGAGCTTTCACAGAGGAGGCACGGGCTTCCAACTGGAACAACACTGCGGCGTTGAGGCAAGGTCTGAAGACAGCTTATGTAGTGGATCCTCTGATGATCTTGATGAGTTGCAGCTGTGCAGGAAGCTCCCTCAGAGGATCCACGGCGGACTCTGCTGGAGAAAGATGGGATTTCTCCAGCTCCCAACAACTGTAATCCAACAATACCAACAGGTTCAAATTACATAATATTTAAGATAGTTTTTGTTGTCAATATTCTTACATGGAAACATGTGCAACAGAATTTAGGTTGGAGAAATGCCTATATAGCTTTCACAGAGTTAATACAAATAAAAAGTCTATATACATTTTTCTTAGTCATCAAACATTACAGTAAAATTCAGTTTATTATTTACATTGATTAAAAATGTTTTCTATCTAAGGAAACAGTGCAGTTTGCATTGAATCACTGACTTGAAGTATTCAGTCCTCTTGGATTAACTTGTAGTTACAGCTTGTGTTGTTGTGTTTGCAACAATCCATCATACTGAGCCGAACTTTAGCCACAGTGAAAAGAAAAACTAAACACTAAACAGGAAAAAACCTCTATCAAAACTAAGCTTATTATATACAGCAGTGTTCCGTGACCAACAAAAGGATTGAGAAAACAAAGCATACACATAAAAGGAACACAGAATCACTGATCCAAGAGTGCTTTTTATGTGTGCGAAAAACAAAAAAGTTGCCAGTAGTAGATCCCTTAGTGGCATCATCTAGGACAGAAACATAGTTAAGTTGATTAAAAACTGAAAGACAGGAAGTTCTTCATCATCTGTTGAAGAAAAATATGGACGTTGTTGGGAAGTAATCCCAGCCAATGCTCCTCTCCTTCACTCTGTCACAGCTGAACAGGCCACATGTAGCTGCTTTGAGCAAAAAAACACACAAAAAAACAGAGAAATAGCAGTGTAGTGAAACTACAAGTCTGGAGAATTAAATAGAATGAGGGAAAATGGTCATTATGTCCTCCAGCAGGCTAAACCTATAGCAGCATATCTACAGAGATAGTTCAGATAACCTAGACCAGGAGTGTCAAGCTCAGTTTTACATCCGGCTACTTTGGCATCTTTAAGTCTTTAAAAGGGCTGGTTGCAGTGGTGGAGATGAAATATTCAGAGATGGGAAGTAACGAAGTACAAATACTTCATTACTGTACTCAAGTAGATTTTTCTGATAATTTTACTTTACTTTACTACTTATTTTTATGGCGACTTTTTACTTCTACCCCTTACATTTTTACACAAATATCTGTACTTTCTACTCCTTACATTTTAAAAAAATGTTACTTTAGTTTTGAATAATTTCAATGGAGTTACCGTTATTATTTTTCACGTCATCAATACCAAATTCAATCTAATTGGATGGGAATCTACGTTGCCTTTGATGCACCACTACAAGATGAATCGACAGATTCGCCAGTATTCATTTGCGGGAAATCATTGCAGCTTGGTGGCGGTGGCGTTAGCATAGTAGTATGGACGACGAGATGATTGAAAATGAACACAACAGAGATCTAGTCCTATTGGCAGACATCCATTTAAAATGTAGGCAACGGCATGAAAAAAGTGGTTTCTACTTTTACTTTTATACTTTAAGTAAATTTACATGCCTGTACTTTGTTACTTTTACTTGAGTAAAGAAGTTTAATCAGTACTTCCACTTTTACCAGAGTATTTTTTAACACAAGTATCTGTACTTTTACTCAAGTACGGAAAGTGAGTACTTTTGCCATCTCTGGAAATATTTGATGCTGTCACTTTATTTACAAAGAGCACACTGCTTTACAAAGCTTAACCCCATTTATTTCGTAATTTTAGCCACTTTGTGCACTAACTGTCCTATCCAACCAGTGGGCCCTAGAGGCATAAAATGGCAATAAGTTTTAGCTGAGGTTGATTGTTAAGAGGTTAAAAAAGCAAATGCTTCTACTTTGGCATGACTTGCATTTTTTGGCTGTTGAGACTTAGATAAATTGCTGTAATGTGCCAGATTCAAGCTTTGGGTTTAACACCTGTGACCTAGGCTCACTGTGTTTTGGATCAGCTAAAGGTTTTAACTGAATTTTGAGAGAAAAAAAACATCCATCTTTCAGCGTCACTTCTGGGCACTAAACATTTATTCTGGTGGTGAAAGAAGGGGTTCTAGAAACCTGTTTAAGAAGGGATTTAAATATTGTCTGGTTCAAATATAACACCAAAGCAGCAGATGTTGCTCCGAAACCTCTGTTGGACTTTTCGGCTGTGAATTGAGCATATATTTATTTCTGTATTTATTTTTAAATATGGCAGAGTTGGTCCTCCATAGAAGTAGACATAAGATCAGCCAAGAAAACGAATACTCCCACAGACTGCCACCCTGGGTTCCTGAGCAAAGACCCTTAACCCCACACTACTCCCCAGGCACTGCACAATGGCAGCCTACTGCTCTACAAGGGGATGGGTTAAATGCAGAGGTACAATTCTCCAATGTGAGATTAATAAAGTTCAGTTATTATTATGTTTTTTTTGGGGGGGGGGTTCCCGCTCATATTAATGTTAAATCTAAGAAAATACCAAGTCATCACCTCCCTTTCATTTAAGTTCTGATGTTAGGTGGTTAAAAAAAGAAAATAATTCAGCCTTCAGTAGGGTTTCATGGATAATGAGTCTGATGTATTTATTTACTTTAGTAAAGTTTAATGCTTTATCAACAATGCTGTTTTCAGCGTCTACTTCATATCCCAGACGTACAGATGAGTGTTATTCCCACAGGATTCCTGTTGTTGATGTTTGCAGGATAAAAGTTAAAACCAGATCAGATTCAGCAGTTATCTGCAGCCATCAGACAGAACCTCCAGGAATCGGATTAGAAGCAGAAACAGACGCTGATGCAGCAGGCTGCCTTTATTTTCAGGACATTTAACAGTCTACATCAGTGACTAAGTTAGGTTGTCTGTGGCAACAAACTGGAG